TCCCTGCAATGTTCATTAATATCCAAAATGCAGGATTCACTCTTCACAAATACTGTTGTGACTCTAGTGATTTAGCTTTGGCAGCATCAAAGTGACATATAACCCTACAGTCTGACAATACTACCTTTTAAATCAGCGGAATCATTAATCAGGGCCCATCAACATATACGTGGACAGTGGAGTCCTGTAGCTCAGTGGTTAGAGCACTCGCCTCACAAGAAAGAGACCTGGATTTGATTCCTGGCAGGGCGAAACCTTGGACAAGTTTCCTTACTCCACACGCCTAATAATAATCCCTCAAGAAAAAAACACAATAATAATTTGGTCACTCAATCCACAAGTGTTTGTGGGAAACTGCTGTGCTCAATTGGCTACTGAGTTTCGCCCACAAAATATACAGTCCATTTACTTTACTGTATATTCTGTAAAGTGCTTTGAGACGTCTTGAAGACGTGAAAAAGCGCTATATCAAATGCAAGGTTTATTATGGTCTTCTCATGTCTTTCAGTCGCTTTTCTAACATCAACACTTAGCAGATCTCCATCCTGGTGACATCGATGTTCAGCACTTGAGGGGTTGAGACATACTTAGCCAAGTGGTCAGCACCTGGTCAGAACAATTTGACAAGGGCCGTCTCACCCTCTGGGAAGGTTAGTAATCTTCTCAGCAGTTACTTTGGCCAGGCGCTGGGCCGGCTCCAGTGATCAGCTGCAGACAGTTTTTAGAAGGTTATTCCATGCTGTTAGCCTTTGAACAGACCAGGCTTCACCACAGGTCTTTGTTTATATAATCCAACAACAGGAAAGCATGAGTCCCTCCCTCCTCAGCATTACACATGGGCAATTTAGAATTGCGAGAAGCACATGGATTTCAATCCAGAATGTTGGTTAATGAAAGTGCAACAGGCAGAATAGGTGACTCGTGTTCCTATGTTACCATGAGGTGAAATTCATGACATTTCGCAACAGATTGGTGATGTTTATCACACTGGTGTGTAACCAGCCAAATGCTCTCCTTCATTAAATGGACAATCTACGTGGCTTGCTGCATGCCCCTTCCCTATTTGAGCCAAGCTTTTAGATTCTATGTACTTAACTTCTGGATCTCCTCCCATCTGTTCCCTCTCTATTTGTCTTCCAAGGCCCATTTTAAAATCTACCTTGTCAACCGCGCCTATGGTCACCTTTCCCCCCTTCTCCCCCTCATCCCCATCTTCCCCACCTCCCCTGCTTGATGTCCAACCTTATCACAGTAAAGTGCTCTGAGACTTTCTACATAAAGAGCGATATATAAATGCAAGTTGTTGTCGTTCATTCCTTCCCTCTCCTCGTTCAAGGCCTGAATCAGATTTCACCGCTTTCGCATCCCACTTCCCTCGGCTCCTCCCCCCCAGCGCGGGTGCCCAGCCACCACTGTCAAGCACTTTGAGACTTTCTGCAGTTGTGAAAGGCCTATATAAGTAAATGATATTGGTGAATTTGTTATGAAATGTCTGAAAGCTACTCACCTTGTTACTATGTTACTCCAATCTGACCAAATCATCTGCAAATGAAGAAAATAATCTTGGAGAGAAATCACACTTGACTCTATATTTACTCTTAATTTCCATAGTTCTTAAAAGAACTTCCAGAAAACTAGCTTTAAAATTGAGATTGTATGTATGAATTTGCCAAATTCTGGACCTGTGAAACACCACAAAAGTAGAGGAAATTTTGACCCAAGAGCAACTTCTATCCCCTTGTTTCAAATTGTTTGCAAATCCCTTTATGCCCTCACCCTTCCCTACCTATCTGACCTGCTTACCTCCTTCTCCACCACCCACTGCTTCCGCTCGGCTGGGTCCAGCCTCCTGTTTATCCCTCTCGCTTTCCTTTCCACATCGGTGGCCGTGCCTTCAGCCACTGCACCCCGAAATTCTGGGACTCTCTCCTTCAATCCCTCCACCTTGCCCTCTCCCTTCCCACCTTCAAATCCTACATAAAAACCTTCATTTTTGATAGTGCTTACAGTCACCTCCCCCCTCCCTCTCCCCCTGATTCGTTGTCAGACTCTGTGAAGTGCTCTGGGTCAGTGCCCCAGGTAAAAGATGCTATATAAATACAAGTTGTTGTTATATTATCTTGACTAGAGGTCAAGAGGCACAGTTTGGAGGATTTGCGAGGACTGTGGTCCATGAAGCTTGAATAAATGATCCTCACACACTCTGTAACTGCTTATTTTATAATTACTGGGGTGGCTTTGCCAGCAGGAAAATATTCAAATCCTGGAATATTTTTCCTGAAAGAATATTTTGTCTGAAATATCCCAAAATGATGGTAAATTGCTTAATAAATTTAAATTACAAGGTTTAGAAAATTGCCTGAAGCAAAAGTATGAAATGTAGACTGCTAACTGAAGAAATGGGTGGGGGGGGGGTGGAGAAGATAATCAGGAACTCCTGATAATCAGGAGTTGAGCTATCTCCAAGGTGATTTGCTTCAAAAATAAAAGTCAGAATTCAGTCAACGCTCTGTGGGGGTCTCAGTAATCCAGTTCTCCAGAGGTCTTCAGATGGACATTGAAGGAGACAAGGGAAGCAAAATAACTGCAGGATAGAGCTCCAGAGAGTGGGGGCAGATAGGCCAAAGGCTCGACCGCCAATGTTGGGGCGGACAGGGTGGTGGCGTGAAGCAGACCCAGGTATTTATTTACTTACTTAAGTCAAACCTCGCAAATCAGACGGATTCTTGTGCTTGCAAAATGAAAGTGACAATAAATGAAACAAACAGCAAAATACTGCAGATGTTGGATATTTTGCCCACAAAATATATAATCAATTCACTTTACGGTATATTCTGTGAAGTGCTTTGAGATGTCTCGAAGACGTAAAAAAGCCCTATATCAAATTATTATTATTAGAATCTGAAATAAACACAGAAGTTGCTGGGAACACTCAGCAGGTCAGGCAGCATCTATAGAGAGAGGAACATGAGTTAACTTTTCAGGTCAATGACCTGAAAAGTTAACTTGTATTCCTCTCTCCATAGATGCTGCCTGACCTGCTGAGTTTTCCCACAACTTCTGTTTTTATTAATGAATGAAATCTTGTTTCTGAATATTCCAAATTCTGTATATTGATCAGTGAATTCCAATATATCAATCTAAAAAGCAAAATGGGTAAGAACAAAAGATATAAGATCGATGTGGGACATCTTACCAGTTCCGAAGTAAAATAAAATGTCCTACATGACTATTTCCCCAAACCCTCAATCTATTTCATCACCAAACAACTATTTCACTCCCTCTTTAAACTGCTGACACAATGTGCCTCCACTGCCTGTTTGGATAATTCATTCCACATATTCACCCCTCTGTGCCTAGAAATTAAATCTAAACTGTCTGTTCATCTTCCCTCCTCTGAGCTTGAGTCTGCTGATGAGTGAACTATTTGTTGCACCAGATGTCTTTCAGAAAGAAATCGTGTTGCTGTCCATAATCTCTCTATTGATTTGCTGTTTATGCAATGTGATTTGGAAAAAAGGAGGCGAGTTGGGCCCTCAACAATCTCGGTTTACAGTGGCCCAACTCGCCTCTACAGTGTGGATCATGATGGTAAGAGTGACCTTTTGCAGTGAGTGCAAATGGATTGCTACGAGGAAATGTTTGATGTTAAACGATTCGAAGGGAGCAGTCCTGACAAGATTTGTTGGCACAATGGCTAAGACAGAAATTCTGTCACTCGCAAGACATGAGTATAAACATTACTTCCTACACATTAAATATAACTAAATATATAAGAGTGAATACTGTACTGCATGTCCTTCATCGCCATGGAACGGAGCCAATGCAGGGACTTGCAGCTGCATATTGTGAAGTCCCCTGCTGTCTGACCCTATTTCCTCTGGGATCTGTGTCCCACCACTGATACAATAGGCTCACTGATGCATCTGCTCCCGTACCTGACCCTGGGTGAGTGTGGTGGCTGGAGATTTCACACATTTGAGGGCTCACTCTCCTAATTTTTATTTTATTTTATTTTTAAACTATAGCTTTTAGAACGTAATTTAAAACTCACACCAAGAAGAAACACTTTAAGAACAAGAGGGTGAAGGTGTCAGCCTGATTCAGTTGGTAGCATTGTCGCCTCTGAGTCAGAAGGTTATGGACTCAAAACACAATGTTACGACTTTGAACTCGAAATCCTAGGCTGACAATCTGAGGGAGTGCTGCATTTTCAAAGGGGCCGTTCTTCGAAATGGTATTAAATCAAAGTTCCATCAAATCAAATATCCTCTGATACCATTTGAAAACGTAAGTGTTTCTCCGGGTATCCAAGTCAACAATTTTCCAGATAAAATTAGTCATTCATGGCTGTGCATAAATTGGTTCCTGTAGTATAACTACAAAGTACACAGTCACTACATTTTACCGAAACTCTGTGAAGCATTTTGACATTATAAGCACTATATCGCAACGATTATTATTATGTAAAATGGCGAAATATATTGACTGCAATTGGGAGAGTCAATAAGGGGTAACAAGAGTCAAGAGTGAGAAGAATCCCTGCCCTCAGTAAATAGTCTATTACTCCAAGTACTTCCTGACAAGCCAAGGCTTCCTCGTCTATCATCAAAAGTGCCTAACTATTATAACAACAACTTTATTTATTTATTATTTATATAGCAACCTTTACGCAGAGTAGCATCCCAGAGGGTTTGACAGTGGTAGGGTCTGACACTGAGCCAGGGGGAGAGGAAGGGGGTGGTGACAGTAAGCACGATCAAAGAGGAAGATCTTTAGGTGGGATTTGAAAGTGGAGAGGGAGGGGGCAAGACGGAGGAGCTGAGAGAGAGAATTCCAGAGGCTTGCAGCATAGTGGCTGAATGGTGACGCAGAGGGGATGAGGGAAAAACAGGAGGCGGAGCCGGCCGAGCAGAGGCACCGAGTGATGGAGTGGGTGGTAAGCAGATCGGATAGGTAGGGAGTTGTGAGGACCTGAAGGGATTTGAAAATGAGTGAACACATGTTGAAATCAATCCGTTTGGTATTTGAGAGCCAGTGGAGCACGTCAAGGAGTGGTGTGATGGCGGGTGCAGAGTTTTGTGCAGGTGAGTATCCAGATGGTGGAGTTTTTAATTAATAATAATAATAATAATCCTTGCATTTGATATAGCGCTTTTCACATCGAGAGGACGTCCCAAAGCGCTTCACAGAACACATTGTAAAGTGAATTGACTGTATATTTGTAGGCGAACGCGGCAGCCAATTGCGCACAGCAATGTCCCACAAACAGTCGTAGATTGAAAATAATGAATTTATTATTGTTTTTGGTTTTTGGAGGGATTATTATTAGGCGTGTGGAGTAAGGAAACTTGCCCAAGGTTTCGCCCTCTGCCTGGAATTGAACTCAGGTCTCTCGCTTGCAAAGCGAGTGCTCTAACCACTGAGCTACAGGACTCCACGGACTTCAATTAATTGAATTTTGTGTATGTTGGAGCTGGGGAGACCAGTGAGGAGGATATTGGAATAGTCCAGCTGGGAAGTGATGAAGGTGTGAATGAAGGTTTCGGCTGCATTGGTTGTAAGGTATGGACGAAGTCTGGCAATGTGGCGGTGGTGGAAAGCGCGATCCTGGTCAGGGAAAGAAAAGGGTTAGAAAGAAAAGCTGGAGATTGAACCTGATGCCTAATAACAATAATAATGATAATCCTTGCGTTTAATATAGAGCTTTATGACGTCATTGAAACATCTCAAAGCGCTTCACAGAAGATACTGTTAAGTGAATTGACTGTATATTTTGTGGGTGAAACATGGCAGCCAATTGCTCATAGAAATGTCCCACAATCAGTCATGGATTGAGTGATCAAATTATTATTATTTTTATTATTGCGCATGGTTCGGTGAGTCTGAGGGAGAGCCCAGGGAGGTTGAGAAGTTCTGACCCACAGGAGAGAAGACATTGACAGAAGCTAATGAGTACAGCTTCCGACTTGCTGACATTCACCTGCAGGAAATTTGCATGCATCCAGGCCTTGATGTACGTCAAACAAGCTGCCGGGACATCAGCAGACTGGGAGTCGCAGCTGGAGGAGAAGTAGATTTGGGTGTCATTCGCATACATGTGGGTTGATCCCATGTCTGCGGATGACATCTCCGAGAGAGAGCATTTAAATAAGGAAAAGAAGGGGGCCAAGGATGGAGCCATGGGGTACCCTGCAAGAAACAGTGCCGGGGTGGGAGGAAAAATCATTTGCCGAGATATTTTGTTGGCAGTTTGTTAAGTAGAACTCGAACCATGCGAGTGCAGTCCCATTAAGGTGAAATCGAGAGGAGAGGCGGTGGAGGAGGATGGTGTGATTGACTGTGTTAAATGTGGCAGAGAGGTCTAGGAGAACGAGGAGGCAGAGGGAGCCCTGGTCACCATTGGAGGTCACGTAATCAGCCACTACGCCCCAAAACTCTGGAACACTCTCGCTCAATCCCTCCGCCAAGCCCCCACTTTCCCCTTTTTCAAATCCTGCCTGAATGCTTTCCTTTTCAACTGTGCTTACGGTCACCTCCCCATCCCCCACCCCAGCCTGGAGTCAGGCTCCACCATTGTTAAGTGGTCTGAGACCCTACCCTGCATGGAGGGCGTTATATAAGTGGACGTTGTTGTTGTTGTCGTCACACAGGAAGAGGACATCATTACTTTGAGTAGCGCTGCCTCTGTGCTGTGGGCAGAGCGAAAACTGGACTGGAGGTGTTTGAGTAGGGAGTGGAGGAAGTGGAGGAAGAGGTGTGAGCGCAGTTGATTTGCAACAATGCATTTCAAAACTTTGGCCAGGAAGGGCAGGTTTGAGATAGGTCTGAAGTTTGTGAGGTTGGAAGGATCAAGGGTAGATTTTTTAAGGTAAAGAGTGATGACAGCGGTTTTGACGGGAAGTAGGACAGAGCCTGAGGAGAGGAACTGGTTGATTGTGTCAGCCAGCTATGGGCAGAGGGCGGGGTGGTAGGCGACATGGGGGAGAGGAGGAAGAAGCAGCCACGCACGCGGATGTTGTCTATCTTAAAGATAAAGAAGTCCAGGACCTCTTCCCATTTGACATCAGAAGTGAGGAACGAAGGTGTTTGAGAGCAAGTGTTGAGGTTGTGGTGGGTAGCAGAGAACAGGATTTGGGGTTGTTTTTGGCCTTGAGATTGACCTGTGAGTAAAAAGCGGTGGTAGGTATGAAGATCCTTGCATTTGATATAGCGCCTTATCACGTCTTCAAGACGTCTCAAAGCGCTCCCCAGATATATACTGTAAAGTGAATTGACTGTATATTTTGTGGGCGAATCACGGCAGCCAATTGCGCACAGCAGTCTCCCACAAACAGTCTTGGTTTGTTTAGGGTGGAGAGGAGGGCAGCGAAGTCAGAGGAGATGGGGCAGGGGGAATTGAGCTGAAGGTTGAAATCGCCCATTATGAGCAGATGTTTTGTGCAGAGGGATGTGGATGCGAGGATAGAGGAGATATGAGTATAACATGAATATAATAAACATTGGCTGTGTGATAAACACCGGTGATCACACTCCCAGGAAAATTACTGTGAACATAACAGCCAATTCACATTTTCAGCCAGAGTATCTGTTGTATGTTTACCATTTTCTGTGTATACCCTGAGCCCCAGCTGAACACCAGATTGACACAAATAATAATAATAATAATAATCCTCGCATTTGATATAGCGCTTTTCACGTCTTCTAGACGTCCCAAAGCGCTTCACAGAATATACTGTAAAGCGAATTGACTGTATATTTGTGGGCGAAGGCGGCAGCCAATTACGCACAGCAGTGTCCCACAAACAGTCGTAGATTGAAAATGACCAATTTATTATTGTTTTTTTTTTGGAGGGATTATTATGTGGAGTAAGAAAACTTGCCCAAGGTTTCACCCTGCCTGGAATTGAACTCAGGTCTCTCGCTTTGCAAGCGAGTGCTCTAACCACTGAGCTACAGGACTCCACAGGAGTCCATGCTGTCTTCAGCTGCACATGATAATTACACAGGTTTACATTGCTGTTCACTTCATTTTCATCAATGTGAAAAAGCAATGATATCTGATCATCATATATTCGTTCCCTGCTGTCTGCTGACCTATGGGGCAGATCACGAGCAGACTGTGCTGTCAGATGTGGCACCATCTTACACTGAACCAATACCAGTGTCACACTGGTAGGAACTCACAGCTAGATAGGTATGTTTTGCATCACTAGGATACTGGAAGGATTGGTTTCCAATTACAAGATCTCTGCAGACCTGCAAACGGTCTGCTCTATATTCACATGGATAACATCAGACCTGCAAAAGCGCAACTAGACGTAAAAGGGTCATGTTGCTTACAGCAGTAATATCAGAAGGTGAGATGAGAAACAGTAAAGCAAGTGAAATAAATGTGGCTCAGGAAATAGTCAGATAACAATAATAATCCTTGCATTTGATATAGCACTTTTCACGTCTTCTAGATGTCTCAATAACAACTAAAGGGACTTCATCCACATAAAAAATGCTAACAACTCTCTGACTATAATAATAATAACTGATATAGCAACTCATTACTTTATTGAAACAACTTAAAGCTGTAGTGACATTATAACAATAATAATAATAATAATCCTTGCATTTGATATAGTGCTTTTCATGTCTTCTAGATGTCTCAAAGCGCTTCACAGAATATGCTGTAAAGTAAATTGATCATATATTTGTGGGCGAAACGCAGCAGCCAATTGCGCACAGCAGTGTCCCACAAGCAGTTGTGGATTGAAAATGACCATTTTATTATTGTTTTGTTTTTTGGAGGGATTATTATTAGGCGTGTGGAGTAAGGAAACTTGCCCAAGGTTTCGCCCTGTCTGGAATTGAACCCAGGTGTTTCACTTGCAAGGCGAGTGCTCTAACCACTGAACTACAGGACTCCACCATAATAGTGAACGCAGCAGTCAATTTTGCATGGTAATGTCCCACAAACAGCTATGAAGTGAATGAACAATTTTATTTGGAGACTGTTGGTCAGGACACCAAGAGAAAATCCCTTCTCTTTTCAAATTGTGCCATGGAATCTTTTAAGTCCACCTGATCAGACACACAGGATCTTGGTTCTTGGTGCCACTGAAAGACAGCACCACCAATAATACAGGGCTCCCCCAGCACTCCACTGGGATCAGCCTAGAATCCCAACATACAGTAATGAAGTTAATGATGAAACACTCACCTTGTCGTTTGCCTGTGACATAATCACGTCCTGAATTTCTCAGTTCCCCTTTACTCCCCAAAAAATGTTTACCAAGATTTATTCTTGAAGGCAATATCCCTTTAAACATGTGACGAATTGAAAAATATAATCCTTTAGCGTAACTGTTAGCATCTCGACTTTGAAGTATTTACAAAGCCCTTACATCACCACAAGTCTACAATTAGACCAGAATTAGATTCCCATGGCATTTCTATTGCACCTTATCCCACACTAAGACATGTGCCTCAAATTATATACCAGAGCCTGCTGCATCTGGACAGAGAGACAGCAGAGAGTGAAAGAGGATCTTTATTAGTCTCTTTATTTACAAGGGCTTGATTTGGATAAATTTGCTGCAGAGCTACTTTCAAACTAGTATCAGACGATTTCTTCATTTTTAACTCAACTGTACAATTGAATTATTTTTTTAAAATTGTTTGAACAGTACATTCAGTTCAACAGCAGTTGCAAGTTCACAGCAAATGCACACTTACAGTGGTGCGGCAAGCTGGATTCCAATTACATGTGACACAAAGACAGCTGTTCCTTACAGAGGACTATCTCAAAGAAAGTACAACAACATTTTCAGTTAATAATACAATCATTGCATTTGAAATAGAGCCTTACCGCGTCATCAAAGTGTCTCAAAGCCCTTCACAGAATTTACTGTAATGTGCAGTGACTATAATTTTGGCAAACACAGAGGTCAAGTTGCAGTATCTTCCTTGTGGGGCGAAGGTAAATAGGGTGTCTTTGGAGCTGAACAAGCTTCAAGGTGGCAGGCTTTGTAACGTAATGTCGGAATCGAGATACGGTGGTCTTGGTGGTCTGATTTCCAAGCCAATCGGGTCCGAA